AATCCCCGCGTCAGTTCGGTCGTCAAAACGGACCCGACGGGCCATTCTCGAGGTGGCGTGTCAGTGGGCACGAACAAATTCCCGGATTTCGCAGCTCGTGCAAAATTGAACGGCGAAGGAGCGGCGATCTCGACGCGGCCAATTTCAACGGCAGGGACCGCCGAGTGTTATCGCGTTATCGTTACATTGCATATTCCGGCACATCCGGACGCAAATTCACTCCGTATATCCCCGGTGTTTCGCGAACGTTTCGGTTCTCTCGTTCGGTTTCGTCTTCTTGTTCTCGTCCCGCTGGCTTTTTTCGTAATAGTAATCTCCGATGTCCGGGGCAGCGCGTGGCAGCGCGTAAATAATCGATGTCGTTCGCGTACCGTTCCCTCTTTTTCTCCCTATTTCTCTCTTTCTCTCTTTCTCTCCCTCTTCTCCCTCTGCGGGAACAACAAACGCAGCGCCCGGTTACGCGGTCGCAGAATGTGAACTTCATTGCGTCATAACGAACCGTCGTTGTTTTCGCGAAAACTCCTCTCGTGTAACGATGTATCCGCAGGTTTTCCCAACGAGAGGTAAAAGCGAGCGCGCTGTAACAATACGTAATGCGATATTAATACGTATTGCTAATGTAAAAGCGACTCGGCGCATAGTTCCGTTCCGCTGGGAATATCAGATTCTTCCTTTATTTTTCTCTCTGTACTCAAGAAAAAATAACAAGATTAAGATGTTTTATCTTTGCGTTTCTATGTTGTATAAGGTATATCTGTACGATGGGAAACGAGACAATTTAGACACGGTGAAGTTCAGAGCGCAGCCGATGGTCCGTTGAGAGAATAAATTAGTCGGAAATAAGTTCTCTCGTTCGACCGCGCTCCCAACTTCAGTGTGTCTAAATCTTTTTGCTCCCCACTGTACAGTCGGCGTTATGTATGGCTGTACCATTCCCTAGATTGAAACTTTTTACCGTTACACAATTTTTAGCCTTCCGCATGTACACTCCGCAGCAATGAATCGTTCAGTAAGCGGTGTGGGGCCGGGAGGGACTCTACACACCGTTTACTGAATGATTTACTGTTGCGGAGAAAACACATACAGGTTGAAACTATTCGAATTAGAGCCACTATAACTCTACCGTTATAATTAGAGTTAGTTCTGCGATTTTCGACCTTATGCGTTATGTGTGAAATTGAAAATCATGCGATTCTTCGTCTAGAAAATAATACATCATATACGACGTCGACTGTACATCACGGTTCTCTTTTGATTGATTCGGTTATGCAAGCTTATAGCTTTAGGTTAATCGAATTATTCTGTTTAGTTTTGCGTAATAAATTCCGGCTAAGCTAGAATTCACATTTTTTTAGTCGGCTTAGTTTTCTATTTATTCTATTTTTTATGGTTTAATTTTTAACTATCAACGATCTATATGTGTTACCTTATGCATTGTGCATTTTTCTGCATTTTAATAGCGCTTGAGAGGATTCCAGGGTGTCCCAGAGCGCTCAATAAATATTGCGTTCTCTCTCTCTCTCTCTCTCTCTCTCTTTGCACTCTCTGGTATTCTACATTCGAAACGGAAAAGGGAATCACTTGAACTTCATTTTGCTTTGATCAACGTTTATGGGTAGGACCCGTCGAGTCGATTCTACCGACATCGGTTGGCGTTGATCCCAAATCAACTATATCGCCCGTCGCTGCCCGTGTCGCAGCTAATACTGCGATTTAGGAGGAAACGGGAAATCGATGGAACCGCGATCGATCGCGGAGGATACTCCGCGAAAACAACGAGCGAACCGGGCTCTCTCGCTGTCGGCGAGAAACTTCGCCCACTTCTCACCGGCAATCGGCGAATCGTCGGCCGTTTAAGGCGGATTAACGACGCGTTACACGGCTCGGATCGAAAGCATTTCGCGCACCTGTCGCGCCAGGAATTCCATCGATATGATTGAGCGCGCGATATCGAAAATCGCGAGGGACTCCGAGAATGGGGACACGCACCCCTCTGGAAAATCTCGCGAGATTTACACCTTCGGAGATTCGCCGACTTTCGGGTCGGCAGACTTTCCGACGAATCGCGCCCCTCACGCGCCAATCCGCGAATTCCGACGCGGTCGAAGCGCCGAGAAGCTCGATCGCACGAGAGCGCGTTCCGTGATTGAGAAGAATCGCCCTAAAGGCTGTTGTACAATAGCCGTAAGTCTACAGCATTTCACTGAAGTTTGTACACAGAGGAAAAAGGATCGGTTGAATTGTAACAATGAACGATCCAAACGCATTTTGGGGGCTGAAGGAAATGGAATTTCTGATCTTTAAAAACTAAAGTCGATTGTAAGAACCAAAAATTCCGTTTCCTTCAACCAACAGTTCGTTCATTGTCAGGAAAGAGAAAATTCGAACTTTGATGTGCTACTTTGTTCTGATTAACCGACGTAAGACCGTAAGGCGTAAGAAACGAAAATTTATTTCGCTTACGATATCTTAAGGTCATTTTACAACGTCTGCAGAAGTACAGTTACAAGTTTGTAAGACACGGTTATACACGGTGTCTGAGACTTTTCTTGGTATCCGTAGCATGCAGGTAGAACGGGTGAAATTGAACAGAAAAGTCATGCACCATTTTGTAAAATTCGCAAATAGTTAATTAATTTTTTATTATATATTGCAAATTTTGCAAAATGGTACATGACTTTCCCGTTCAATTTAATTCGTTCTACCGGCATACTACAGATTCAAAGATAATTATCGGACACCCTGACGTAAGTAGTAATAAGTAGTAATAAGACGTAAGTAGTAAGCTAATTGACTAATTAGATTTTTACACCCCGAGAATAATTGTCTATGGTTGATCAATTAGTTTACCGCTTACGTCTACAGTATATTTTACGGATATTATAGACGGTCCTTCGGGTCTGTTCAGACAAACTTACATAATCTCATACTGCATATACATAAGGAAACCGATGATGTCTTCTATATTAGACACATAATCGGTCAATTTCCTTCTGCATATGCATTATGCAGAGACCATACAAGCTTGTCCGGATAGACCTTTAAGATCTAAAGCGAATATGAATTATTTTTACTTCGCTTACGATCTTATATTACAGCCTACTACGCCGGAAACTGGCCCTTACGACCGCGTCTTACGGAGTTACAACCTTTGCGAACATTGTAGAACGGCCTTTACGTTGCAGCTTACTACACCGGAAACGGGCCCTCACGACCGCGTCTTACGGACTTACGGCCGTACTCCTTACGACCATTGTAGGGTGGCCTTCAATGTCCAATTGCTCTCCGCGTCGACGTGGTTAGACACGGCCGAACGTGGCCGTATGTGTCCGAACGGCAGGATATCCCGGCGACGTCGCTTCGCCAGCAGACGTATCGCGTGCACCTAGTCGAGGTAACGAGCCAGCCATCGCAAACGACGTGCAGCAGCGTGGCCCGACTGTAATGCAGTCGCATACGGCTCTCTTGACCTTTCGTTCGCCGTTATCGTATGCAAAAACACGGGACCGCGTTCGCCGCTTGCACAGCATATCTAGCGGCAAGCACGAATATACCTAAAACCCGTGATCAACCTCAGTGAAACGCTCAGAGTGTCGAGCGTAGACTGAAAGCAGCCGAAGAAATTAAACCGCGCTACTTTCGCGTCAAAGGAAGCGATAGAGCGAGGAAGAGGGAGAGAGAAAGAGAGAGAGAGAGAGAAATAGCCGTTGTGCGGTGTCTCTCCGCGAAAGCGGATGCACCGGGCAGCAACGAGATGCATCCGATTGCACAGACATCCGAGAATATCCGCCGTACATCTGCGCTGCATTGCATGCTGCACCGCACGCCATCAGGATTTTGCAGGCGTGCTATATGCCGCGGCCGAATGCGAAATGATAATTTCGTTATCGACGGAGATGAGAGATCGGCACCGTGAGATATTCTTCCTCCCTCGGACCCATTCTTCAACCTCTCCGGGGACAAATTTACTCGAATTCGGGAGTCGATCGGGTACGGTCAGTCGTGGGACGGTTGTGACACTTCTTTTTCTATAAGCTTCGGAATACATGCCGCGTCTAATAAGAGAACTCGTTTTCTAGTAATCTCTGAGGAGATACCATTTTCTCGTTGGACATGAGATGTAAAAGACTTAATGAAAAAGAAATGTTGCAACCGTCCTGTGACTGATCGTATCTCAAAACGTGAAAATTGCAAAAGTGAGCAAATTTACTAGGATCGATTCACGAAAGTCATCCTAAATCCCTTCGGGGCGATACAAATGTGCACGCTTAGATATATTCGGTTTCCCATCTTTAGAACTATTTTCTTCCTGAACTAGGGCTGCGCTGGAACTTCGTTCTTCCCTTCAAAGTTACATATTTGTCTTATTCTACCAGTAAGAAGTGCAATCTGGTCCAGAAACAGAAAATAGACCTTTTAATTCCAACAACGTGGACGAAAATATAACGAAAATAGCTGTGAATAAATGTTCGTTGCTAAAATCCCATCGGGAAGTGAGAAAATCTCGTCGCACAATTGACAGACGTCACTAAAACAAATCGGATCATTTTTTCCAGACATCAATTAAAACAATTTTGAGCGATTCTCAAACTCGAATTAAACTAATCGATGAGCAATAACAAGAATCGTTAACATCGATTTCCGCTTCTGTGATTCGTCCGACATTGCTCGACAAGTTAATTTCCATCTGCGTTTGCTAGATATAGAATAGGTAATATTTGAGACTGACAGCGATTTTCCAGGTCGCCTAGATTAATCATAGCTTGACGAGAGTCACCTTAAATCGTCTTCTTCAGGGCCGATCGTGTATCTCATAACGTAGCGAGGATTACGAGAGTGAGCGAATTTACTGGAATATTTACAATTTCATTGATCAACACCTATGCTGCGGCTTCTCAACCAATCAGGTGATTTCTAAGACACTTTTAGAAGGGCTTTTATCAACAAAAGAAAGTTCAGAACGGAAGAAACAGAGGAAAGGTAGGTGGGAAGCCACGTACCTTCAGCTTCTGGTCAATCTTCTCCTCGATCGGAGTGCTCATCTTCGTCGCGTTGATTCTCATTATTCTCGTGCGCGATCAGTGGGTGCCCTCGAGCGCGTGTCCTCGAGCGTGGAAACGTCGTCCTTGGCGACGATGGCGATGACGCTGCTGCTGGCCTCGGCGACGAGGCTCACGGACACCGACGACATCGGCGCGCACACGCACTATCGCGGCACCGGGAGGCCGTTCCTCGCGACGACGACGACGACGACGACGGAGGCAGCGACGACGACGCACCGACCATGACGGACCTTCTTCATGGCTCTCCCTGCGGTCGACAAGCAGCCACGCGAAGTTAGGTGCGAGAGCGAAAAAGCAGAGGGAGAGAGAGAGAGAGAGAGAGAGAGAGAAGAAAAAGAGAGCTCCGGTCGCCGGGTACTCGATCACGCGATTCGCGACGCGATCGAACGAGACACCGGGCGCCGAGACGTTCCTCACAGCTTCCCCGAGGTTATTCCCCACGTCGAGACGAGCGCGGCGGATTCGCGCCGCGTCCGAGCGCGTCGAGGATCGAACGGCTCGTGTGGAATCGAGTTCCGGCCGCGACTGCGGGTGCGCGCGGCGAAGATTCTCCACGTTCTCCGCTCCCGCTTCGACGACCGACGCGGACGATTTCCCTCTTCCCCTGTCTTTCCCCTTCGCGCGCACTCACGACACCGGCGATCGGGGGAGAGGGTTTCGTCCGTCCCCCGGTGTCGTCCGCTCACGGGCTCGTGAAAAATGCACGCGGGTCTCCGCCGTCGTGACAGCGGCGGGAGAGCCAGGGCTCACCTGAATTAATAACGCACTGAATTGATAACACCGCTGGCGGCCCGGTCGACCGGGAGCGGACGCGACGAGGACCCGACGGCGGGATCAAGCGATCCTGGGCCGGAGGTTCCGCTCCAGGTGGCGGGCCTACCTGGGCGACACGGCCGGGCGGAGAACTCTCGGTCAGGCTGGAGATCGCCGCTGTGATCGCCCGGCCGAGAGGACGCGACGCGACGCTTCCGAGCAGCGGAGGACGCGAACCTGGCACGGGCGAGAGCGAACTGTGTAAGCTGGAGGCGACCGGCACCCACGTACACCTCGCACAGCCGCGGCGCATCGATTCGCGCAGGGCGCAAGTGGAGTCAAGCCAGGGCCGGACAAAAGCGCCGTCGCGCCCTGCGCGCCACTTCGCCTATTCCCGCGCCAACCCCATTTAGCTCCTCGGAACGACGGGTTGTTCGAGGATTGCTTGATTTCGCGTTTTAATTCGATTCTTAAGAGATTACGGTTGAGTGATGATGTTCTAATTAGCGCGACCGTCCTCTCGTTTTAGATCCCGGAGGGGACAGAAATTTCCTCGCGACCTTCTTGACACCGAGACCCCTTTCTGTTTTTAATGGGTTCGTATTATAAGAAATCGTACGAAAATAAGCGATGTATTAAGAGATCGCTGGATCTCGTTGTAATTTGATTTTTAACGAGCTATGGTTGAATAATGGGGTTCTAATTGGCGCGCTCGTCCCCTTGCTTTACATCACTACGAGACGGTTCACTGTTTCATGGCCGTCTTGACACCGAGACCATTTTCTGTTTTTAACGTTTTTATATTAAGATTACTAAAAATGAACGATGTATTATTCATTATTTGATTATTAATATGACTCGTGTTTAAATGATGAAGATTTGATTAGCGCGCTCGTTCTCTCGTTGTAGATCTCGAAAAAGAAAAGAGACGGTTCGCTTCGCGGCCTTCTCGATTTTTCTCGCCCTTTCTGTTTTTAACGTTTTTATGTTGAGAGAGATCATTCAACAAGAAATATATTAAAAGACCGTTTGATCTCGTTATAGTTTGATTCTCAACGAATTATTGTATATTTGAATAACGAACATGTTTGACGTCCCGCTTTAGATTTCGCAGAGAACGACAGTTCTCTCTTCAGTCCTCTGCTTGATACCGAGACCTTTTACGGTTTTTACCTTACTATATTAAGAGATAAGGAATACTTAACGTCGAAAAGCACATATGCCCGAATCGAAGCGAAATAAAACAACGGTTGATATCGAAATTGTGTATTGTATTTTTGCATAACTGCGCATAAACATCCCATGAAGAATAAACATCATTTGTAAGATATATATCCGAATGCGTACGTATTTCTCTTTTCGAATATTTCTTGTAAATTGACTTATTAAACGACGTAATTAACAATATATCCCACGTGCGACGTGTATTGTCGATCGAACTGTTTCTGCGACCCGTGGAGACTCTCTTAGACACATCACAACGTAAATATATAACGTTATATATTTAATACAAAATTAATAACATATGAAAAATAGTATTGTATTTAAACAATAAATTGTCTAATTCCGCTGTAATTGTCTCTATTCTATGAAAGGTCCTTGGAACATGTTTATATTAAAATGTAATATCACATGTAGATTATGTAATATCATACATTATACGCATCAATTACTAAGCGTCCAGAAGTTTACAGAATTTCTACGAAGGATCTCAGAACGATCGAATTATATACAGTTCTTGAGACAAAAGCAGAAAACGCGTTTTCATCGGATTACAATCAGATAGCACTCTACGTACGAGTTGGCAAAAATTCTTCTATCTACTTATCCGTATTTTTCTATCCCATTAATTTACATATTCCTCAAATATTTACACATTTTAATTTATAAAAATCCCTAAATGTATTCATACAATGATACAATAATATAGCTAAATCATCGGAGAATTAAAAAAACATAATTAATTATCTAGATCTATATTTACAAATAATACAGTCTTTCTGCAGGCAGAAAGAAAACATGATGGTGTGAATTCTTGTAAATTCACCATGTGACTATTTATGTTCACCCGGAATAAAAATAATTCGATCGGCTAATATCTTTAATGCCTGCTTTGAGTGATCTATAATCCAAAATAGACGTGGAACCGCATGTACAACATAATACATTACATTTGAGCATTCATATAAATACACTGTGAATAGTTCTCTCGCAACCAGAATCCTGCTTTGAATCTTGTCCTTATTATACAAGATGAAGACATCCTAGCATAAGGAGAATACTTAAATATCTCCTTTGTTTTTAATGATGTAAGAAATGTTTAGAGCACAACGTGAGTCATTTCGAAGGAGAAATATGGCGGAAGGAAATTTTTCCACGCTCATTTTTCTCGACTTTTTTTTTCAAGGTCCCCATATTTAGGCCCCCAAGATATTTAGGTGTTCTCTTATGTTCGGACACCTTGTAGATTGTTTGAAATAGACTCAAAAGAAAATTCCTAATCACTGTAAGTCCAGTCACTGTGCAAAGTTTTCACAATAGACACCATGTTCCTGTGTGCAATCCTGGTCATTGGCGACTGGGAGGATGCGCGATTCGACGCTCATACACAGACGAAAAAATCACCCTATCGTTGCATAATAATTGCATAATAATTGCCTAATAATTGCTTAATAATGAGTAATAATTAATCTCTCATTGTCAATGAATATGTACAGCAGGGATCGTGTGGAAAAATATACCTCCTAAATAAATATAACAGCGTGTTAAATCGCGATCTAGAAAAAGATCTTCTTCAAGAAGTCGTACGACGCGTTGATCACACCCCAGCTGATGAAGGATCTCATGTAGTTGAGGTGCACACCCTTGTAGAAGTAAGTTATGCTCCGGTCCCGGGAGATGTACACCTCGCGCATGACGGTCAGGAACCCCTCGAAGTCGCCGCCAATCTTCGCCTGCATGTGTATCTTGATCACGTTCAGCGGATACGACACCGTGCTGACGAAGCCGCCGATCAGGGCGCCGCTCACGAAGTTCGTCACCAGCGACTCGTGTTCGCCCATCAGCAACTTCGACCGGTCGCGCAGGGTAAAGAACATGAGATTGGACAAGCCGTTTCTGTAGACGATCGGCAGGAAGCCGCGATAACATTCCGCTACTCCATAATTTGTCAGCAGGTGCTTGAACGCGTGCGATGTGTTCTTGAACTTGTCATGATAGTGCCAGTCTTGCAACAGCGTTTGTACTCTTTCGAACGGCATCAGAAGAGCCTCCGTCGCGCCGGCCATGTTCGCCGCCATCACTTGGGCCAACACGGGGCTCCCGGTCAAGAAGATGAGCCTCTGCTTGCATCCCTCGTACACGCTGAACATCACGCTGACAGACAGAGTCTTCTGGCACAGGGGCGGCAAGATCCCGCGATACAGCAGCTGCAATCCCTCCCGTGACATCTGTCCGACCGCGGCGGTCACCGGAACTCCTTCCAAAATCTGTGTTAACGAAGAAGCATGAAACTTGTTATCAATTGGTCTGTTCTTCGTAGCTGAACTGGCTGCATTAGCTTGCACTAGTTCTGTTTTCTTCTTTTTCATACAAAGTCACAGCTTTGTATATATATATATATATTTCTTTTTAACCTTGTTCTTCTCTGTTTGGGTTTATTTGACCCGAAATCATTTTTTTTCCGTTATATTTTTGCGTGATTTTATGCGATTTGAGTGAATGTTTTGGCATTTCATGACTTCGTTTCATTGAGTACATTAATTTGAAATTAAGCTATAAAACAAAGCCATGAAATAGCAAAACACTCACTCATCACACAGATATGTAACAGATAAATAAAAATGATCTCGGGTCAAATAGACCCGAATAGACATGATATTAATTATTATATAGCAGTTAGATAAATCATATAGCAATTAGACAAACTATATAGCAATAAAGCATACAATTATCTCTGTAACAGCTATAGTGATACATTCATCAGCATCATTTGCACAATGCATACCTGTCTAAATATAATTTTGTTGATTGGAAAGGTGACAGAGACGTTGATGACGGCGGAACCCCAGCCGCAGAAGAATTCTTTAAAATCACTGCTGTTGAGTCGGAAGATCGATCTCAGTGAAATCTCTTCTGATGTAACATTACTCATATTAGTATAATTTTCAAGAACACTAGAATCCAAGAAAGGTATCCAATTGTTGCAATTTCCTATCCGAAGAGGTACTGCTAACTATACCATGTTCTATCTGAAAGAACACAGGCAAGGATATGAGTCAGCTATCACAATTTTCTATCATTTTATCAGCTGGTCGAAAACAAATCCATGAAGGACGTGGCGCTAACTCGGAAACTAAATCTCGTATTTTATCAGCTTGTCGAGTAATAAATATTCGATAGATAAGTTACTCGTGTAAGTGTTACTCAATATTCTTTTTAGCTAAACTAGCTGCACTAGTTCAAGAAATTTATATACAAGTTAAAGGGTACGAAGCGAAATTACACGTACAAGATTCTCACGCTTCGATGAATTATAAGTAGATTTCTTGAACTAACACAGCTAGTTCAGCTAAAAAAGAACAGACCAACGGTTCGTGTTTCTTCATAGTCAAGCTGATCAATCACGTTAATGAGGTTTGAAGGCCGATAGACACGATCAGTTTCCAAACGCGTGTGAGAGACGCATGTGTCATCACGTAATTGTGATCAATGAACGAATTAATATTCAATTTCTTTTATCGACGTACATCCGCGCAGTATATCGCAACAACCCCGAAGCACGGAGATTTTTACTGCCAAGTATAGATACGTGTGTTTGTACTCTTTCTCTCTCTCTCTCTCTACATGTTTATGATTCTCGATCAACGAATGAAAAATCAGAAATCTCGACGGGAAAGGGCAAAAACATCATGACTCGCGAGCGTGATTACATTATATAACCTCATCACGTGTCAACTGCATGTTGACCTCCGACTTACGTGTGCATGCTTGTTCCTCACTATTCAACCCATAGCTTCCGGATACCTGCGGCATCCGAGGTGCGGTCTGGTCAGAGTGTGGCCGCGGAGATCCATGCGGCACGCGTCACATCATGCGGTTATGGCGATCACTCAGCGTTTCAGCGTCAACCACCGCCATATCAGCCGCGGTCGGTCGTCGACATCCGCGAATCCGCTCCTTTTGACTGCACTTTAGCGTACATCTCGATTATGCCCGGGTCGCACTACGGATCAGGATCGAGATTGGATTGCAATTTGACAAATTGAGAACAAAGTTCACTAAATTCAAGTTTAGTAAAACTTACTCTGATTGGTCAAGTCCCTATCCAATCTCAATCCTAGTTCGTGACTCTAACACGGACCTTAATTTATCTTCAGATACTGCGCGGCTGATTTCATTGGCTACGAAGCATCTGAACGTAAACTTGAAATGATCTTAAATATAATATCGGACCATGTATACCGGTTGATAGTTCTTGCAATTTTTTTCTTTACAAAGGCCCTAATAGTACCCAATATTTCTGTACTTATGTCTAACATAAATATATCAATATTTCTGCCAATATATATGCACTTCATTAGACAGCAATGGGACAAATCGTCTAAGGCCTCTCCACACCGCGACAAATGCGATAACGACTGAAGGTACAAACGAGTTAAAAAAATTTCGCAAATTTAAATTTAAAAAATTTGCGACGATTCGCAGAGGAAGACGAGGTACACACGAGTTAAAAAAATTTCGCAAATTTAAATTTAAAAAATTCGCGACGATCTCGCGTGTAGACTGGTGTATCTGTCGTCATGTATTGCAAATGATAATGTTAACAGTGAACTATTGTTGGAAAATCATGACGAGAACACTCGGCGGGAGAAACAGCGTAATCTTAATTCAGCAGATTACGCGATCAGTGTGTTATAATCTAGTTCCTACTTCTCACATTACCGCTCATATAAAAAGACGTTTGTACGGAGTGACGCGTTAGTTTCTCGACGACGGCTGGCGGTGAGAGGTACCGTTAAGGTTCGTTACGTTGGAGGTATCTCGATTACTCCGTCGCATAGAGTGAAAACGTTTTTCGTTTTACAGTGATCGACATCTTGTGCATTAGCCTACGGCTGTGAATTTCACCTCCGTGATAACCGGAAACCATCCGTGAATATGCTGCGTATCGTGAAGACTCTCTCGGCGCCCAAGAACGTCAGTAAAGCCCTCGAGACGTCCTTAGGAACTTGGAATGCACCCAGGTACAAACTTGGCCGTCCTTCGTCTCTCATTCCGATCGAACAACCTGTTGCCTGTATTGAACTTCGATCGAATTGTTGGCAAAGTGTGTCAATTGGATAAATTTATTCCGATTCGCTCCAATGAGATCGAGCCAATTGCTTTAGTCGATGGTCTTTTGTTTAAACTTGGAGAATTCAAAGCGGACCATCTCAATTCGATTGGAATAAAAATCGAGAAAGCGGTAATATTCCTGTAGATAGTTTTACAATGCTTCCTTTTCGTAAAATCGGAAAATGAAGTTAGAGAGAGGAAGAAGAGAAAAAGAGAGACAAAACTCGGAAGGACTTGCTATGACCTAATTTAATCGTGCACGGCAACATTAAAGAACGATTTGGTACTTTGTACTTGACTAATTTAAACGGATTTGCAAAAAGATATTCATCCACGTCATTCGCAGCGTGTTTCGACTCCACGTTGGACGTAATTTTACATCGCCGATATTTTTAACTGAGTGTTATGTGTGTACGTGTGCATGACGCGTCGTGGACTTTGGTCTGTCTTGCTCACGCGTTTCATCTCTCTCTTTAACTTAATCTGATTTCACACATACTTATATATATTTATAGGTGTATATCCATGTTATTTGAACCTGTCTCAGATCCAATATATGATTAAGTTGTGTACTGTGTTCTGCAGAGTGTGCTCATATCATGGTTGTTGATATATTCAATATTGCTCACAAACGTGACATATCAATAATGTCGAGTAACATATTAATAACATCAGAGATGTAGTATAAATAGTATGTATAATAAGTTGCAAAATAGTAGATATTATACACACACACACACACACAGAGGAATATACTCAAACAATACGTGTGTCCAAAGACATCTGTGTGTTTCAAAAACATTCTTTAGACATCTTTATGTTTCCTAAATAAATAAAATAATCCGTGAAATAGAAAACAACACAAAAAACATAACAGGAAAAGTTGAATATATTTACAATTTTATAGGAGGAAATAACAACTTTGGAAAAACATAAACAAGTTAACCTGAAAGATGTAAAACCCTGACAACTAATATAATATTTTAACATAGTCGTAACTAAGATTTCAGTTGGGGGAAAGAGCCAACATTTATTTTCATACAAAACTAATTAGCGCACTTATATTAGAACTAGTTTTTGCAGATCTTCAATTAATTTTCTTAATACTTATTCTTCCAACTCTTTTTTTTTCGCGAGCACCATTTTTCTATGTGCATTAGTACACATAGGCCTGGTTTTTCATTTTCTAGTTAACTTGTGATTTAGATTTAACCTGATAATAATTTAAAAATTATGTTTTCCTATTCATAGTCATTAAATATTAAATTAAATTTTAAAAGTTATCACTACAAAACCATCAATTTAATAATGCATTTAATGATTAACTATCCAGTAAACGATCTGTTAGCAGTCTGACGACAGATTGGTGACAGATTTTAACAGGATCTGTTGACAGATCCATAGTCTTCTGTGTTCGCAATCTGCTGTTGGTCTGTCGACAGAGTCTGCTGATAGACTCTGACGATATCTTCTAAGTTTCTCCCTTGCGAAAATTTAGAGGGGTCTCTCCAATTTCTCTCTTGCGTACCCCCATATATTTTAATAATATCTAGAGATTGCTTTGATATTCACCATTAAGCTATCAATGGAAACTGTCTCAAACAATCCTCAAATTACAGATGTTTGGCTACTCAAGCTGCAGTGAAGACCGCCCCTGTGGAAAAGGAGAATGTCGCCACGAAGGAGTCGCAGTCCTTCACCATGAATATCTTCCGTAGCCAGTTGCAGTTGAGCCAAGTATTTCCTTTCCCCGAGCCTATGACCGAGGAACAACTCGACACAGTCAAAATGCTGATAGATCCCATGGAAAAATTTTACGAGGTAGACGTCTCTTCGTACGCCGGTATCTATCGAATCACAAGTGAGACGAATATTAAACATGTCTGACACTTTCTTTCTTCTTCTAGGAAATAAACGACCCAATGAAAAACGACCAGAATGCGTCCATAGACGAGAAAACGGCGGCCGCTCTCTGGGAACTGGGAGCGTTCGTTCTACAAGTGCCCCAGGAGTACGGCGGCTTAGGACTGACCAACACACAGTACAGTCGATGCGTCGAGATTTGCGGCTACCACGATCTTGGCCTGGGCATCACTCTTGGCGCGCATCAGAGCATAGGATTCAAGGTGAAATTCCCAATAAGCAAGATATTAACAGTACGTTGGCAGATTCGATCAGAATATCCCGATAACCAGCGTGCCGGCACGTCCGTGCATGCTGTGCTCAGCACGTTATGCAAACATTACGTTGTTACAGTGCTACTTTATACCGATAAAGCACATAATCCTCGCACGATGTTAACACGGTATTCAGTGTACAGCTGATGCTGGCATTTTGATATGCAAAATGCCGGCAAGGTGTTCGCATAGTTTATTAAGACGACTTACCTTGTCGTCTAGATGATCCTAAAATGATCGTTTTTTTTCGAATTTACTTCAGAGAAATAAAAAGAGATATCGTCATGCGGTTTTCTTTTTATGCGCAAAATCTGCTTCTGCAGTTATCCGAGTTGTCACTTCCAGACTGGCCGAGGCTCCCGAATTACCTCTTACGGACTCGAGTGTGAAAACAAGGCAGAAGTTACTTTTTACCGGTTGTGATTAACAATTCATTGATCACCAGTAATCCACCGATCCTGTCGTTTGTCGTGTTTGACTTTGTGCGTTTGCAGGGTATACTTCTATTCGGCACCCCGGAGCAAAAGGCCAAGTACCTTCCCAGGGTTTGCAACAGTGAATATGCCGCCTTTTGTCTAACCGAGCCCGGTTTCGGCTCCGACGCCAATTCCATACGCTCCCGCGCTGTCAAGTCCGCGGACGGATCGCATTACGTTCTAAACGGCAGCAAGATCTGGATATCAAATGGTGGTATCGCCAATATAATGACCGTGTTCGCGCAAGTACCTCAGACGGACCCGGATACTGGCGTGACGAAGGACAAAATGACCAGCTTCATCGTCGAGAGGGCCTTCGGCGGTATCACCAGCGGACCACCCGAAAAGAAGATGGGCATCAGGTGTAGCAACACGGCGGAGATATTCTTTGAGGATGTCAAGATCCCGGCAGAAAATGTTCTCGGCAAGGAGGGCCAAGGTTTCAAGGTAGAGAAACTTGCAGAAAAATTAATTAATTAACAACTTATATTTTCGTGCAGGTAGGGTTCGGTAATAATTAGCTATTCTGTTAAAAGTTAAGTTAGAAAGTAACTTTTCACTCAACCGAGTTAATTTTTAACTTGAACTAGTTAATTTAAAAAGCATTAACTTTAATTTCCTAACTTTTTATATGAGTTAAAATAATTCTTCAATATTAAAATCATTGCGAGCTACTTACAATGTCGAATAATAATAAGAAATAACAATAAGAAAAACCAAAAAGTAATACCAGTATAATTTTTATTGTCTGAGCGCTAGTTTTTTTTTTTACGGAATTGTTATAAGCATAACGACGAAGTATGTCGATGACTATAAACCGGAGCCACGGTTCCGAATTGCCAAAACGTTGCTATGCGGAAATGCAACCTGACATTTCTGCAAAAAAGATATTGAAATCAGGATGGTCAGCGTCCTCATTTAGATGACGCTGACACATCAACACCATCCCCTCTGATTAAGACATAGGAAGAGGATAAAAGGGGACGTAAGACCGGCGCGAGTGCAACTCAAATTCTCAACTCTCGGGTACCAACGCGCTGTCAAACGCGTACGTAAAATTGTATAGGGCGATCAAGTAATAAAGACAAGTTCAGTTTTTATCAATCAAAGAAACACTTTATTAACTATCGCGCCTCACCACCTTCTCCCGCTCTACCGCGCTGTACCGGACAACCCCCACATTACCGCGACGTTTCGGACGCGCAACAGAATAATTCACTTTTAACCCCTTGACATACAATGACGTCTGGGAGACGTCATTCATTTCATGTACCATTGTAGACTTTGACGTTTCCGAGACGTCAAGAACTGTCTCCGGTGATGCCGTGCAGTATATTATTAGATTATTCAATTATTTCACTTGTGATTATTCAATTGTTTTACAAGCTTGCACATAACTGTTCATTGAGCAAAATTAAATAGTATTTTTCGGACGCATCAAATTCCGTTTTATTTGTATGTCAAGAAGTTAACCTTAACCCATTAGCTGCCACGATCCCCATTTGGGGCTCAAAACAAAACATAATTTGAATATAATTATACTGTTACACTTTTTGTGCATATATATAACTTATCCGGCCAAAAATTTCAACAAAAAAAATTTGGCAGTTAATGGGTTAATAAGTTTATTTAATATTTAATTTAAGAATTAATTTAGCTTTTTGTTCAGATAACTTTTAACTTAATTAAAAATAAAAATTAACTTACCCAACTCTGCATATAAATATTACAATTGAACAGATGCGCGATGTTTTTACTCTCGCCATATTTTATATATAATTAACTACACGGTGTACATTTTTTCAATCAAATTCCTAATATCTTTCAATCTTCACGCTTACCACATCAAAAAAGAATTGTCACCGGAATTTGCATATTAATAACTTTTAATTCGCCGAGCATATGAATTTAAGTTTTATGTGACTCATGCATATGAATTACCCTATATTATACTTATTACTGCCTTAATACCAATTTTATTACTTTTAAAAGGTCGCAATGAATATTCTGAACAACGGCAGATTTGGCATGGCTGCGGCCTTATCTGGCACTATGCGTTATTGCATGAGCAAGGCCGTGAATCACGCAACCCAACGTGTGCAATTCGGTCGTACTTTGGACAATTACGGCACCATACAGGAAAAAATAGCACGCATGGCAATACTACACTATGTCACCGAGTCTTTGGCATATATGATTTCCGGCAATATGGACCAAGGAAGTCAAGATTATCACTTAGAAGCGGCTATCTCCAAGGTAATTCTCTCCTTCATTATACAATTGAAGTCTATTTTTCAATATAGACCTAAATTATGATTATTTTCAATACACTTATTAAATTTACAATTTTTTTTCTCACAGTACATATCTACTTTGATATACGAGGGGGGACCCAAAAAAAACCGGATTTTTTGTATAAAAAGTATGTAGTTGTA